AATGGATACGAATCACTTTTATGCCATAATGTATCGTTTTCTTCCCCATGTGTTATCTAGTGAACCAAAGTCTCTTTTTTTAATGTCAAGACTTAATTAGTTAACACTGACGCTATTTTCAAAAGTGTTGTTGCTAATACGCATCGAAAAATCATTACAGAGCAAAGTTTTCTCTCATTCTTTCTTTTAAAAATACGAGTGAATATAAGTGTAAACGTCAAAGGAATTAACTGAATCATTCAACTAACACTTTGGCAAAAAAACGATTATATTTGGAATAAAACGTGTGGCCTCACAAGAAGAGCCTTAAGTTCTCCAGTGATTTATACTTTATTTGCAAACATATACAAACAATGATCACTGTAACAAAGAAAAATAATGTGGAGACAATCGAATAATAATAGGCACATCAGGAAGTCGCAAATACCATTGCAAATAAAGTGAAAAATATATTCCCAACGAATTACTTACTTCCTTCCATGCATATTTACATGTACATGCAACATAATTCACATAATACTCTCGTTCAATTTGTTTTCCTTAACTTTAACCATTGCTATATAAACTTGCAACGTTGCAAATAGTCTCCCCATTCAAGGTCAAGAGAATTGAAGGTCAGGTCAACCCTTCTGAGTGATGACGTCAGCGAAGGTGGTGGATACAGGCGTAAAATATATCATAAGCGCAAAAGACAATTTCATCCGCCTTTCAGAAGTACGTGCTTAAATACGAACATACATAAATGCTGGGAGATTTTAATTTCAATAAATATTAATAGAATCTATTTTACTGATAACGAAATGATTTCAAGTGGAGCAGCTCGAGTAAGTTATTTCGAAACAGCCTTAATGGATCTTATATTTTATTACCCTTGTTTACAACTTTGCTTACGTCACAGGCACCTACTCAGGATGAGTTATTCCTGATTTATCAACTACTCATGTTTTTTTTCACCGTTATTTTTGTTCCAAAGTCTTTCGACCCTTTATTTCAAAATTTTTGGCTGTCTCTTTACAATGGAAAGGTATTTACATATATATACAGACGTGCATACATATATATTTATCTATCTATCTATCTATCTATCTATCTATCTATCTATCTATCTATCTATATATATATATATATTTGTGTGTATCTGAGTGTGTGTGTGTGTGTGTGTGTGTGTGTGTGTGTGTGTGTGTGTGTGCGTGTGCTATTTCAACATGACATATGTGTTTCGCGTATTTCTCCTCCAAGCGTCTAGCCTCGGGTACATTCGCTGCTCAGATAATCCACGAGGAATGAGAGAGACGGACGAGGGGAAGGAGGACGCTCTTATGGTCTTTGCTAGTCCTGGGCATTACTTTTGATGTAAATAAATGCATATACACACATAGATGTGTGTGTGCGTGTGTATGTGTGTGTGTGTGTGTGTGTGTGTGTGTGTGTGTGTGTGTGTGTGTATGTGTGTGTTTGTGTCTGTGTGTGTGTCTGTGTGTGTGTGTGTGTGTATGTGTGTGTGTGTGTGTGCATATGTGTGTGTATGCGTGTGCGTGCATGCGTGTGAGTGTATATGCGTCAAACCCACACACACAACTGCTCATAAAGATCAAACCAAATTTCCAGGAAGCAACATGCACGCACAGTACACGCAAGAGGGAGGCGAGCCAATGCAAGACCCAAGACGATCTCGGGCGCCGTGGAAATGCTCGGTAATTTGCCACAATTACGGCATCCCTTACCGTGATTAAGGGAAAATGGCCTTTATGTGAGCGATCGCACTGCATTCGCATAATGCTTGCAACAGCCGCGCATTAGGGACGGGGGGGGGGGAGAAAACCGAGGGGTGGGAAAGAGGATACCAGGGGGGGGAGGGGGAGATTGACCATGGAGGGGAGGTTATTAGGGAGGAGGAGGGGGTGGGTATCGACCTTTGGCAAGGGGGGGGGGGGGGTCATCCGAGTAGGCTTGACCCTGAGCATCCATTAGAAAGGGTATTGTGAGGGAAAAGAGAGACGGAAAGGGAGGGAGGGATAGAGAGAAAGAGGGAAGAAGGATTTTTGATGATTGACTCGGTATGTTGTGTTGTGTGTACGCGTGCTTGGGTGTGATTTTCTATTTTCTTGATCTTTTTATGATATTGTTATTATTATTATTATTATTATTATTATTATCATTATTATTACTTATGTGTATGGTATTTTTATACCAGTGCTTTTATTTATGAATACATCTATTTATCTCTCTCTTACTCTCTCTCTCTCTCTCTCTCTCTCTCTCTCTTTATATGTATATATATATATGTATATATATGTATATATATATATATATATATATATATATATATATATATATATATATATATATATTCATACAACTTCCCACTGGGTCAACTTACTCTAGGGGACACCCAGGGAGTATGAAAAACTCGATCACTGGTAATTACAGTGGATTAACTTTGCAACATTCATTTCCTTAACTTAATATTTGTCCAACAAAGATAATTTCAAACAACCACTAACACTATTTAATCAATTTAATCAATAAATATCCTTTACAAAAATAAGGCCTTAATAACAATATAAAACAAAAGTATGAATAAAATCAATATAAGGCACATGGGAAAAACATGAACTTTTGTTGGCGTTTACATGACACGTGACCACATTTAAATTGTGTTTATAACACATATGCTTGAAGAAATAATAATATAGGTAATGTACAAATAACCTTGAGTTCTCAACTAATTTGCTGGAGCACTAGTTAGCCATCAATCAAGTAAATTCAAAGTAAAAAACTTGCCTATTACAACACAAAAAACTTGTTACATCCAACCCAGGCCGCCATGATCCGCTGACGCCTGTCAACGTTCACAATAGAAATTAACTGAACTTCCTTTATGCCCTTGTGGCTGTTACGAATACATTTCAAATAAAATAATTTTACTTTACCCCAAATAACTTTGTAGTTATTCACAGATACACAATAACGTAATAACAACTATATAAGCATTTATGAATGCAAAGGAATGAAAACGTATTCTACGTAATCAAAGAAAATGGATATTTCAACATAGACTTCAATATATTATACCTTGTACGATAATCCTTAGATATTTTCCATGTATTATGTAATAACTACATGACACTCCCCTCCTTAAAATAAAAACACATAGTGTTTTTATCCAAAGAGTAATTGTTACATCAAAAAAGAAAAGAAAAGAAAAACAGAACCCTTATTATACAATCATACTGAACGACTCAAAGCATCGGCTATCAGATTTTCTTTGCCCTTAATGTGTTTTATTTCAATATCATACTTTTGTAATGTTAGGCACCATCTCATTAACCGCATGTTTCGATTTTTCATACTATTCACAAACTTCAGTGGATTATGATCCGTAAACACTGTTAGTTTTCTACCATTTTCAATATATACACTGAATTTTTCTAAAGCAATAATTAATGACAGTGCTTCCTTTTCTATGGTTGCATATGGTTTCTGGTGAGGCTTGAATTTTGTGGAAGAATAACATACAGGATGTAATACACCATCTCCATCCTCTTGGAGTAAGACTGCTCCTGCAGCAATATCACTTGCATCAACCTGAAGTACAAATGGTTGATTAAAGTTTGGGCTTTTCAACACTGGATTAGAACTCAGTAGATCTTTAAGCTTATCAAAGGATACTTGACAGTCATAAGTCCATATAAAGTTCTTTTTTGGACTAATTAAATCAGTTAATGGCTTTGCAACATAAGCATAATTTGGGCAATACCTTCTGTAATAACCTGTCATACCAAGAAAAGCTTGAACAGCTTTTCTATTCTTGGGAATTGGTAAAGCTTGGATAGCGTCTATCTTTGCACTTACTGGGAACACACAACCACTACCTACTTCATGACCGAGTACTTTTAATTTAGTATGACCAAAATCTGATTTTAACAAGTTCACAGTCAACTTCGCTTTACTTAAACGTTGGAACAGTTGGTTCAACACCCTGATATGATCTTTCCAGGTGTCCGTAAAGATGATAAGGTCATCCAAGTATGCAGCAACTCTATCCAACCCTGATAAAATATTGGTGATTAATCTCTGAAAAGTAGCAGGGGCTCCTTTCATACCAAAGGGCATAGTTCTGTACTGATATAAACCTGTAGGAGTTATTAAAGCTGATATTTTCTTAGCATTATCAGTAAGTGGAACCTGATAGTAACCTTTCAAAAGATCAATACGTGATATAAATTTTGAAGAGCCAACTTTATCTATTATGTCATCAATTCTAGGAAGTGGAAAACAATCTGAAACTGTAAGGGCATTAACTTTTCTATAATCAGTACACAATCTCCAACTGCCATCTGATTTAGGCACTAATAGGCACGGAGATGCCCACTCACTAGTACTTGGTTCAATTATATTATTGTCTAACAAAAAATTTATTTCTTTACTCAAAATCTCAAACTTAACTGGAGACATCCTATAAGGTGCTTGTTTCACTGGTGTAGCTCCGGACAGCAGCTTTACATCATGTTTCACTAATGAGGTGCAGCCAGGAACATCACTGAACAATGTAGGGAATTCTTCTACAAGGGACATAACATCCTGAGCTTGATCTAAGGATAAATGGGTTAATTTTGCACATAAATTATTTAGTACATCACTGTTTTTGAGTTCCACCTCCACTGTTTTATGTTCAAAGTCAGAATCATATTGTTTATAATCATGGTTACTACTGGATTCAGCCTCTTTACAAGTACTCATTACAGTTTTCACTTTCTCTTGATTTCTGTTAATATATTTCTTCAATCTGTTAATGTGTACTAACTTTTTATCTCTTCTTTTCCCTGGTGTAGAAATTACATAATTAACATCACTTACCCTGTCGATTACTTTATAAGGGCCTTCAAACTCTACACTTAATGGGTATTTCCTGGTTGGGTTAAACAAAAGAACTTCATCACCAGCACTAAACTTTCTTTTAATTGCTTTTCTATCAAAATTATCTTTCATCTTACCCTGTGCCTTTTCCATGTTTGAAACTGCAAATTCTCTCACTTTATGAATTCTTTCTTTCATTTTTTCTACATATAAACTTAAATTGTCAGTCTTGTTTTCATCAACTAAACTCTCAAAAAGAATCTCTAAAGGGCCTCTAATCTGATAGCCAAATAAAAGCTCACATGGGGAGTAACCTAAACTTTCATTTTTAGCAGTTCGTATTGCATATAACATAAATGGAACACTCTCATCCCACTCTTTGTCAACTTCATTACAAAATTTTGTCAAAGTGCATTTAAGGGTTTGATGAAACCTCTCTAATGCTCCTTGGCTTTCTGGGTGGTAAGCAGTAGAGTTACACTGTGTAACATTTAATATCTTCATAACATCCTTAAACACATTACTTGTAAAATTAGAACCTCTATCACTTTGTATGATTCTTGGAATGCCAAAAGTTGTAAAAAACTTTGTCAATGCAGGTACAATATTTTTTGTGGTTATGTTGCGTAAAGGTATGGCTTCAGGATACCTTGTACTTGAACACATTATGGTCAATAAGAATTTGTTTCCTTTTTTTGTTTTAGGGAGGGGTCCCACACAATCTATTATGACTTTATAAAATGGTTCACTAGCAATAGGAATGGGATTCAATGGAGCTGGTGGAATTTTCTGGTTTGGCTTACCAGCCAGCTGACAAACTTTACAAGTTTTACAATATTCTTTAACGTCTTTATTGATACCAGGCCAAAAAAAGTAATTCAAAATTTTCTCCAAAGTTTTCTTAACCCCTAGATGACCTCCAATAAAATCATGGGCCATGCTCATTACTTTGTATCTAAAACAACTTGGTATTATAATCTGGTGTACATCAAACCACTCAAAACAAGGATCAGCTGCAGAGCGAAATTTGCGCATTAATATTCCATTTTTTATATAATACATTCTGCAATCTTCTTCTAAGTCTTGTGTACTCCCTGCCTTACAAAATAATGTTACCAAAGATGGGTCTGATTTTTGTGCTTCTATTAATCTTACCCGTGTTATTGGTACAGTGTTAAAATTTACAACATCACTCATATCTTTTTGATCCTTAGTATTACTCTTACTCATCTCCACTAAATGAGAGTTGCATAATTCATTCAGGGACAATGACTCATCAAAAAGACTATCTATTTTCATACTTTCCTCACTTTCCAAGTCTTCATTCTCAGTCTGAAGAGGATGCATCACATTGGTCTTACTCCTGGTCACAGCACATGATGGGAATAAATCTGGATTCTCAGTCATCTCCTTTTGTATTGGATCAAAACTTAATGGTCTATCTGAAACAATGATATTAGGCACCACTATTCTACCTGCTATATCATTACCCAAAAGTAAATGTATGCCTGGAACTGGTAGACTCTCTGCCACAGCTACTTCAACAGGGCACGTCAAACATTCTGACTGCAAAAACAACTTACAAAGAGGGACTCTTACTATTCCGCCAACTCCTCTCATCAACACATGCTTATCCGTCAAAACATTCTCTAAAAACGGTAAAGCACTCTTCAGCACAATACTTTGTGAAGAAGCTGTATCCCGCAGGATAATAACTGGAACTGGCTCATCACCCTCCACAGTAGATATCAACCCTGTAAACTTATAAGGATCAAAGCCTTTATCAACAGTGACATCAGAATCCGCATTACCAATATTCTGCAAATTCTCTGGTACAGAGCATACATTAGCAACAGATTTTTCCCTTTCCTTCTTCAATTTAAGTTTATGACAATTAGCAACTATGTGACCAGCTTCCTTACAATAGAAGCAGCTTTTAAATCTAACAGCATTGCCATCATAAGGCTTTAAATTTTTCACATTGCATTTACTCACAAGAGTTTTATCAACATCTCTAAACTTACCACCCTGGTCAGTGGATAATGGCTGGGTCGGCCTTGTATGGTTTTGAAACTTTCTATTGACAAGACTAAAATTTTCTGCTAAGTGTGCTGCTTTATCAACTGAATTTACCTCACGTTCTAAAAGATAACTCTTTACTTCCAGAGGAATGCCTCTAAAAAATTGCTCCAGCAAAATAGTTTCACTTAACTGTTCATAATCATTTATATTACTTGCAGTTAACCATCTCTTAAAATACTTACTTGAGGAATGAGAATACTCTAAATAAGTTTGGTTGATGTCTTTCTTGTTATTCCTAAATTTTTGTCTGTAATATTCAGCAGTCAACTGATATGACTTTAAAACTGTGGACTTAACTAGATCAAAATCCAACTGTTGTGCTGTTGAGAGAGAAAGGTAACTAGAACGTCCCTTCCCCTTTAGGACAGTCTGGATCAAAAGAGTCCAAAATTCTTTAGGCCAATTTAAAGTATTTGCCACACGTTCAAATTGCAAGAAAAATTCTTGAGGATCATCCTCATCAAAAGGTGGCACAAACTTGGTTACTTTCACGACATCAAAATTATTAGCATTAACACTATGTTGTATACCTGCTGAACTTTGCATCTGAGCCAACTT